TTAACCGCGTTGATAGAAATTAGAATAACACAAAACTATTTGTAATGCAGAAAACTAATTATCAGTTCGACTGCGAATGGGTCAACTATTGTGTTTACGCATGCTTGGGATCAATTAGTTCTGAACCATGCAAATTCCAAAAACATTGTACAGGGTGTCCCAAAAAAAAGTGACACTATAGAAATTATCCTATTGTTATAATTTGAATGCCCTAGCACTAAGTTGATCCCACAGGTGCATAAACTTCTGCTTCTGGAATTTAAAATAAAAAAGCAAACCGTTTATTAGTGTAATCGTTTTGCTTGACTCGGGCGTTAAAATATTTGGACAAAGCGAAAACGTTTTAAAATTGCTTAAATGTAAATACAAGTTCATTAAATTCCCAGGCGTGTAATCACGCGCGTTTAAGTGCGGCTTAAGAACAATGAGATAATTTCTATAGTGACACTTTTTTGGGGGACACCCTGTACATGTACTTCAAAGGTTTGCAGGTTTTTTGATCACCCTGTAGCGGTTGAGGACATTGTTTCTAATCTTCGACACATGCCTAACATAACAAAAGCATGATCAATTATAAAAAATATTCAAGAAATGCACATACTTTAATCCCATGGCCATGCACGATCCTACTGACTTGCCCCTGGCCCTGGTTGCGTTGCATGCTTAAACAATGCACATGCAGAAATTAAATTATTTGTGTATACAGTACATTTAATTAACCCATGAAATAGCACGCAAAGCATCGTTCTTTTAAAACGCCATGCTATAAACATAGTTGGCAGTTGCCGGACTGTTCATACCATGTCTCCATGTCAATGACCTTATGTCAAATCATATTCAAACAAAAGGTCTACAACCTAAACCCTGTTTACATCATAGCAAAGTGAAAGTGATGGACAACAATTGATTCGCTTTTTAATGCTTGAAATGAACGCTTTCAGACGTGCAAATATACAATGTTGATTTTACTGCTAAGTGCTAAATGAAATAAGAAAAGACAAAAGAAAATAAGGCGAAAAGTACAAATGCATAAATTCGCTTTCTAAGCGTTATAAATTGTTTGTAATGAACAAATTCAGTATATATATAATGTACTGTAAGACCAGCCAGAAATCAACAGACCAGGCATACAATGAATACAAAAGACACCAAAAGAACTGCATCGTTACCGGCTTTATATATAAACTGGCTAATGAGATTCCCCGTATTTATAGCGTCATGCATGCAAAGCATTCTGGTCGGCTAACAGCAATGCATGCTGGTCGGTTAACAGCAGTGCATTCTGGTCGGAGAAACGGAAGTAAAATCTTACTTTCAGAGACCAATACAAATTAGAACTGCTGACTTGCTCGCTCGCTTCAGGCTCGCTCGTAGCGTCATCAATTATATATCACATTTAATATTTCTATCTTGATCTGACTTTGTCGTTGATGTTACCTCTTCAGGAGCGTAAACTTAACTCTCTAACATGTGTTCTCAACACAGTCTATATCATGCACTATTATTTATTAACTGTAGTAAACGTCCTTCCTGTCCAACGTTTACTCTGGCTATTACGTCAATGGATTTGGCTCATAAACTAAACTAAACTAAACTGAATTAAATCAATACATTGACACATTCTAACACATTCCCCCTCCAGAATTAGTGTCGTCCCATGACACTCGTTGTTATTCTTTGGGAATGTAATGTACCGCGTGGTACGTTGTTGAGGAGTTCTCTCCATAAAACTATCACTCTAAATTACATACAAAACATACAATAGTAAGTACTACACAACAGGATCCTATTATTACGATTATCCAGTATAACCTTAAATTTTGCTGCAGCTTCTGTTAACTGGCATAAACTCTTAACCTTATATACGTGATAGCTTTCAAAGATACGCCAAATATCTTAGTTTTAATATTGAAGTTATGGAGCATTTTTTCTTCATTGTAACGGTAGAAAATAATTAAAAATGTTATATAACTGTTCAGTATATTGGGTACGGCATCACTTGCATTGGGTGTCCATGAAACGGAGGGACTTGGTTAGGGATAGGGTATATTAGGTTGAGTAGATGGGGTCCAGGGAAAGGTGGGGGTAAGGAAAACGGTTTTGGGATGCAAGGCAGGGAAATGGGGGATTTAGGAACCAGTTGGATTGGTTGGGTTGCTGAAGGGGTTGCCATACATTGGGTGAAACTGTAGCTGAAATGGGGAATACTCTAAACGGGTCTGTCTCACCAGGGTTGTAGTAGGTTAGCCGATCAGGTGGGTGCCGTACTCGCTGTGGTCTCGGATTTTCAACTACAGATATGGTGGGGATATCATGAACAGGGTTTAGGTTATCCTGATCACCGCTGAGGTCTAATGTTTCTTCGGTCTCGGTAGGGGGTTGCAATTCAAGGGTCTCTAAATTGTCGTCCACAGCCAGGTTGTCACTTTGATCAGGAACTGCCTCGTCTGTTGGTAGCGGGTTTCGGGATTGGGCAGAACGCGTTTCTCGAGGTAGGGAGACCATTACCACATCAGAGAATTCTTCGTCGCTGGAGGTTTCCTCATCCTGCGCTGTAACGTTTCTGGGTGGTTGTCTGTGTTGTTGTCGCCGGGTTGCTGGGGGTGGTTTTAGTGTAGGTGGTTGTGGGTTTTCTGCGGGTAAATGATCACAAGGGAGAAGTAAATTTCGGTGTAGAACCCTATTCTTTCCCTTACCGTTCTCACGCTTCGTTTCGTACACTGGGCTCTCCGGGCCCTTCCGATTTACCACTACGTAGATGTCATTCTCCCCAAATGACCTCAGCTTGCCAGGACCACCACGTTCGGTAAGATTACGCACCAACACACGATCTCCTGGTTCTAGTACAGAACTGCGAACCCATCGATCATATGAGCGTTTCGCTTTGATACCTTTCTTCTTTATCTTGTCCTGAGCCATGCAATACGCTTCTTCCATTGCAGCTCTCCAGTGTTTTACATACTGGGGGTATTCCTGTTTTGTCGATGGTGTTTGGGTTTGGAAAATAAGGTCAATGGGTAAGCGAGGGTTTCGTCCAAAGAGTAAATAAAAGGGGGGAGAATCCAGTAGTGTCATTGCGAGTACAGTTGTATGCATGCACCACTTTGCTAACGTGATCCTTCCAACGTGATTTCTCGTTTTCGGGAAAGGTTCGAAGCATATCGAGGAGTGTTCTATTAAACCGTTCTACCTGTCCGCTTCCTTGAGGGTGATAAGGTGTGGTACGACAATGACCAATGCCGCAAAATTCTTCCAGGGTTTTGAGCAGTTTGTTCTCGAATTCTCCACCTTGATCATGATGGATTTTGGCTGGGAACCCAAAGCGAAGGATGTAGTCGTTGTACAGTTTTCAGCCACAGTCTTTGCCGCTTTGTTTCGGGTCGGGTAGGCTAGTGCATACCTGGTGAAGTGATCAACAATCACAAGGATATACTCGTACCCTCCACTGGACTTTTCAAGGTGGACGAAATCGATCGAAACCAACTCGAAGGGGGTGGTAGTGATAACAGGTTGTAGTGGTGCTCTCGTCTTCAGTCTTGGTGGTCTTTGCTTAACACAGCGACAGATATTCCGTACGTAGTGTTCCACATCACTCTGCATCCTAGGCCAGTAGAACCGATCTCGAGCCAAGGGTAGGACGCGCTCAGATCCAAGATAAGCCATGTTGTCGTGAAGTTCACGTAGAACTGTTCGATGGTATGGTCTAGGAAGCACAATCTGATCGTGTGAGTTATTCTGTCTTCGTAGAACGCCGTCTTTTTCAATAAACAGCTTTGGCCAGTCGTGAAGTAGGAGTTTAGTATCGGGTGATTCTTCTGCTCTCTGGGAGGAAGTTGGTCGCTGTTTTCTGTTGACAAACGAATAAACTTTTCCAATAACATTATCTTTAAGCTGAGCTTGTCGAATGTCACTAAGGTTGAACTGTGGAGTACTGCTAGTGATTGGTTGTGGATCACCTCCATGCAACACAGTGGTATCATGGGTGAGAGATGAGACCCAAGTCACTTTACCTTTGTCTTCCAACTGTATCGACTGGACGATGGCTCGTAGTTAGTCTTGGCAGGTTTCCGCAGTGCACGAATCCATGTATTGGCTCATGTTTTCAGGTAATCTAGAGAGAGTATCTGCGTCGGTATTCATCTTTCCAGGGCGATAACGTATTGTAAAGTTGAAATCAGCTAATTCTCCAATACAGCGAAAGCCAGTTGCATTCAGTTTGGCAGTTGATAGGACG